CCAGATCTCAACCCTATAGAGCAGCTGTGGGACCAATTGGGTAGGCGAATACAGACATTGCAACAGTTAGAAGCTCACTTGCACCGAGAATGGCGACAGATAACGCTTCAACAAATCAGACGTCTAACTGGCAGTATGCGGCGCAGGGTTGCAGCAGTCATCCAGACAAACGGTGGATATACCCGATATTGACTTTTTGATGACTAATTATCAATGTGTGGGTCATGATTGACATTTTGTAATGTGATTTGACAATTCAATAACGTTTTTGAGCTTTCACTGACAATACCTATTAAAGATAATTTTAAGCGTGAAAACTGTCCATATTTTGATGTCATGATATGTAAATTAAAAATTGCTACTTTACGGTGATAATCTTGTTTTCTTGTGCCCAATAATGCATAATTTCATTTGATAAACACGTTTGGATTGAATGGTAATTTATAATCAGTCACAAGAACGTCGAATCTGAATCACTTGAAAAAACACGGGGGTGCTTAACTTTTTTCCAGGTGTATATAATGGTGATGTGTGGCTCTGGATATCCAAGGAACTGCCACTTCTAGGCAACATGCACTCACAAACTTTGGCTAGTTAAAGACTACATGACCAAGGTAAAACACTGCTATCAAAAGAATGTTGTGCATTTTCTAGGGACCCGAAATGCTTCTTACAGTTGACTTTGCTTTAACATACCAACCCATCTTAGTATGATATGGTCACAGGCAACCCTGACCTGGCCATAGGAGCATGGGTGTGTGCTTGAAGCTTTTGGTGCTTTGAACATAAGATTGTATCTAGTCATAGGAGTGCAGTGGAAACAGGATTTCCTTAGTACAGAATTGTGTATGAGCTTGTGAAAGCAATGCACATACAACCATGTATGAAACTCTAAGACAGACAAGAGTTCTTGTGACACAATCATGTTTAGCCTTGTGCAAGAACCATAGCATAAACTTTTGTGAGTATCAAGCACTTGAAGCACTGATGCTAATCCCAGAGTCTTTGGTGATGATCCCAGTTAAGAGACATCTAGGAATAAGGGGAAGGAGCTGATTTTACCAAACTTTTTTTTTGTTCATGATAAAATAAATTTCATCTTATTTTTAAAGGGCCATTTGGATTATACTATTTTCTATATATTTGTTTGTTTTGTATTTTTGTGATTAAATTTAATGTCAGATTACAATTATTTTCTTCATGAATCAGAGTTTATTTATTAGAATGTAAAAGGATTTACTATGTTTACCTTATACTAATTTTTATTTTAATTTGTTTTGCATTTCTTACTTGTATATTTGACTAATATTGGGGTGCAGAGTGGTGGTTACAGCAGAAATTCTCCAAACTTTCTTGATAGTAAAGATTAATTTTAATTTATTTCAAGGCCAAGATAAAAAAAAGAAAGTAAACATTATATTTTTTTATTTTACAACTATACTCTGTTGTAATTAAACTTGATTTATTACAAATTTCATGTATTTAGTGTGCTTTGGTTTGAAACAGGAAACTCTTTATTGACTATCTGCAAATGTGACCTCAGAAACATTACTTAACTAATTCTCTGTCTAGGCTGTCTCAATCTTTTATTATATTATTTACCAAAGTTTCATTTACTTGTCAATCTCTACTTTTACAAGTCTTGTGAATAATTCAAATAATTAAAGTCCTTTTTTTGTTATTTGTACAGTACATCAGTTTTGGTTTCTCTCTTCACACCACCTACACCCAAATTTTCAGCTTTCTTTTCCTATTGCAGATTTTCTATTCTTTACCTTTCCATATTACCACATGCATATTACAGTTTATGGAAAAATACTAATTTCATTATTTTGCCCAAGGTAATCTGCAGCGTCATCACAGACTGCAAAAAAAAAAAAAATCTGTTCATTTATATCTATAAATTGATTTATTTTTATGTTGTTATATAATTTTTTGGTTTAGAAAATTTGTAAAAACCAAACAGCCAAATTCTTTTAGCTATTAATCAGTTCTTTTGTTTATAAGGAGATCATGTCGACTTGGATGAAAAGGTCCTCACTGTTTTAAGTTTGTCAGTTAACTCATAATAGCTCACCATTTCTATGAGCTTAAAAATTTCAAGCTTTAACATATGAACAAAACATAGTTACTTACTAACTTTATATGACAAATATATACAAATGCCAGGCTGTTCTGGAAAGACGGTTGACCATTTCCCCAATATTATCACATGGACTCAAAATTTATTCCATTCTGATGGTAAATAAAGTCCATTGTAACCAAATGTAAGTTCATTAATTTTTAATTTAGAGTATATATTATTTTACCAAATAAGTTATGTCAATCTACCTTCATATGTTTTCAGTCAAGTATTTTCAAAACTAATGAACATTTTAACTGAATAGTTTTATCTGTAGGTTAACAAAGTAATAATACGGAAGCACAATTCATTTTTACACTGGATTGACCATTCTATAGAGTTGTTGCTTATTTATTTCACTCAAAATATCTACAACATCCTGAGACGAAATTATTTCATATCTGTTCCAAAACGTTTTAATCAAAGCAGTTATATTTTACATCTACCAGCTTCATAAAATAGTAAAAATGAATGCTGACATTTTAGATTTACAGTTAGAAAAATCCAAGTCTTTCTAATTCTTTAATCTAAAAAATATATACAAAACATAATTATTCTGTTTTGTTTCTCTTCTTTTTAAAACGTTTAAATAAAATTTAAAGATACCTTCCAGAGTTTCACAAGTAGGGGTTCTTTGACAATTTTTATTTGAGTATTTATGAATTACAATTTGTTAATTATAGTTAGAAATATATATTGTGTTGTAGCACAATAGAAAATTTACTATAATCTAATCCCTTGCAAATACATGCAATGTATTCTAATATATATATATTAGTTACAAAAAAAAAAAAAGATTTACAATACGAAAACATGATTTAAAATTTATGATATTGCCTAGGTTTTTCTAACATCCCACAAAACAAGAGAGGTCTAATAAGCAAATATCTATAGCCTTAATCTTCATTAGAATACTGTTCACCCAAAAGCTTTTCTATTTAATGTTGAAAACCTTGTATAAACAAAGCTAGAAAAAGTAGATGGAAACTACAGACACATGTTAAAACGTTATTGCAGTGGGATAATGGCTCAATTTAAAATAAAAAACATTGGATTTGGACTAACATTGACTACTTACTTTAATTTTTTTTTGATACACAATCTGAAAATACTGTAATCTCACATCCAGATGTTATATAACAATGTAACATTAGGATGCTTGGTTATGTTTATCAAGACTAATGAAAGTCCATCATTGAATTTATAAATCATAACCTCTACAATAATAATGTGCCATGAGCAAAAAAAAACCTTAAAGTATTGAAAATAATTAAATTGAGAGAATTAGTAGACCTACAGGTAGGCTTGCTGTTCCCTTGCAAACTATCAGTACAGTTGTTGATATATATACAGCTAACTAAATATCAGATAACAGTGAATGTTTGCCAAGTTATTTTAGTTTTTCATTCCATATACTACAATAGTTAAATGAATCATTTGTCAGCTTCACAGAAATTTGAATTTATGGATTTACTGTTGGAATACCAAAGTCTTTCTAAATCTTTAATGCACAATAATCTTAAAACATTAAATCATTCTGTCAAAAGTTTGGGTATTGTAGCCAAAAGCTTTTGAAATAAACAAAAAATTTAAAAAACGGAATAAGTTCACTAAAGTATTGATTCAATTAGTTAATAGTACTTCATACTATGAACATGAAAGACTAATTAAATACTTTTGAGGTTGGACATCGTATTAGCATCAATGTAAAAAATTACAAACTGATTCTTTGTGCTGAAATATTATTTTCACTAAGGTCTTGTAATGAGCAAATAAAATCCTCTACAAAACAACCCATGAATAAACAAAAAAGGTAATTTGCAGCTAGTTGTTCTCCGAGCTAGAAAAAACAACAACAAATAACAAGCCACTTATTAAAGAAATACTAAATGAGCATTTCAATTTACCAAAGTATACAAATGTTGCAATTTAAGCCTATTCTTAAATTTTACTACAAGTATATTCACATTACATCTTAAGACTATTTTTAAATTTTACTGTAAATATATTAATATTACATCTTAAGGCTGTTCTCCAATTTTGCTGCAAGTATAATTATATTACATTTTAATGCTACTCTTAAATTTCCTATAAAAAAAAACTATTCTTAAATTTTCCTATAAGTATATGAATGTTACTTTTTAAGGTTATTTTTAAATTATAAGTATTTTTATATAATATCTTAACCCTATTCTTAAATCTTCCTATAAGTATATGTATATTACATCTTAAGGTTATTCTTAAATTTTCCTATAAATATATTCATATTACTTCTTAAGGATATTCTTTTGAATTTTCCATTTAAAGTCTTGAATGATCCCTAAGGTGATGAAACTCTGGATCAGTATTTTCTCTGAAATGACAGAAGTTATGATAAATAACTTTTTATGGTTACACGCAGGCTATCCTGACTAAATCTACTGATTAAATTACTGAACCAGGTATCTATATATGCTACTGTTGTAAGTTACCTGTAGGCTCAGGATTTTTGTTCTATTACCTGAAGACTACCAACTTGTCTAACCATTTTAAACCTAACTTGTACATTTTGGGCAATATTTGAATATTGTGAAATATCAAAATAAAGGTTAGTTCATCAGCAACTGTCACAAAAGAATGAAATACCTCTTTCTTTACCTTAATAAAAAGCAGGCTACCACTAAATCTTATAGTAAAAAAGATTTTTATCGATTAGTGAAACATAAAAAATTACAACACTGATGAGAATATTAAAGTAATAATGAGGTTGAAAATAATTTTCAAACTGTAAACAAATTTTTGGGGAAAATTCAATCCAACCTCGTGATAATACAATATTAAGCTTTTTTCTCTCTCTCTCTACCTATCTGTATATATGTGCATAAAAAACAACAACAAATGAAATTCATTTCTAAACACACAACACAATTTTTTGCGTAGTAATTTTTCCCCTTTAAAAAGCACACTGGCTTTCAGCTTACAATCAACACTGAAACACTGTAATTATGATACTGAAATGTTTGATAGTGTTTCTCACATTTTTTGAAAAAATACGAGGTAACCTACAGTACAAGTGGATTAATAATAAGATGATCACATTCTAAACACACTGTTACTGATCTGATTGTTTTGATATTTGTTTTCTTAACTAGATTACCAACATATTTACAACAAGCACACAAGTTTACCAAATTCAAGAAACCTAATAAATAATTAAAATACGTTTCATACTTAAAATGTCATTTCCGACATCTTTTAATTATATAAATAAAAATTGTTGTAATTTAGTTATTTATTAGATTTTAAACAATACACAAGAGTAGATCATTCATACTTCAATAAAACTGCTTTTATTTTTAGACATTTTTCTGCCTCCGATTTCGCTCCTGATTTAGTAAATAACATAATTCACAATAGACATAATTATTAAAAGTTTAAAATTTTAACTCTTGCTTCTCTGAAGTGCAAAGAAAATAATTGCAAAAATTTAGAAATTCATGTTCCTTATAGTAAAGAAAACTTTCAGAGAGAATAGGTAAGAAATGTAAATTTGGGAATTTCTATCATTTATCAACTGAAGTTGTAATTCAGCTGACTTTTAAGTTTTAGTTAATTTCTAAAGATAAACTCCTTTTGGGGAATGTTTCTGTTTTAAAACAACTACGGTCAGTATAAATTCAAATATTAGGGCACAACTGTGTGTTAATGTTGTTTTTTATGTCATTCACAATTTCATTTACAGTTAAAACAAGCCAACTCAGGTGCATCATTCAAACAGTTGGTTTGATTGACAGTCATTAGTTTTTAGCTCAAAATGATTAAAAGCTTTCTTATATTAACTGTATCTGAAGTTTGTGAGACAAATAAAGAAATGTATTGTCTGTTTCACATAACTTGACTTTTACCATTCTTTGAGTATAACACATTTGTTATGATGATTAATTTACTTCATTATATATTGCACTATCTGGTGCTAACATTTTTCCAGCCACTTTCTGTAATGATCAAAATATGTTTGAAATCAACTACACAATTGCATATCGTTTAGCCACAAACAATAAGTAAGTTTTGATAAAAGGCTTTCATATTGTTGCAGTTTTCAAGGGGTATTTTTTATTGACAAGATATAGATTACAACATCTCAATCCTACAGCTTATTCATTTGGAAGTCTTTTCTAACTTACAGATATTTAGGCCTACATTACAGCTGCAAATAACTTTATTTCACTGCATTACAAATGTTACAAACTGTCTAAAAAGATATGTTGTATTAATTTTTACTTAGAGAATATTCAGACTACTAAATAATTTAATAAAAGTCTAAAAAAAGTTTACAAAAACTATAGAAAACTGTCCAGCAGCCAAATAATTAATTTGTGTATGAACTTCACCTCTTGAAAGTTTTTATGGAGCCAAATATTTTCTTTGGAAAGCTAAAATTGATTCAATAACATACTTATTGTCACACACACTGTTATTTATGTATATTTTACCTTTTAAATTTATTTCCTACTGGGAGGCTATAATTTACCTTGTTGTAATAAATGTTGCTAGCAAACAAAAACAACATATGCATGCAGCAAAATCAGCCTAAAAATTGAGATTGAAAATTAATAGAATATTACATTTCATACCCTAAACTGGCTTCTTATTTTCTTATGTTAAAAACTGAACTTTTAAGATATAAAACGAAAATACATTTTGTCATATATAGAATTAGGTTTTCTAGATTCCTTTATAGTAAATTGTTTTCGTAAATAATTATATACTTGAATGTTTATAGTGTGAAAACTTACAAATGACAATGTTATCATGAATCAGTATGACAGACTTACTGTTACTATATAGTTGTAAAGGAAAATGATTAATGAAAAGTATTTTGAGGATATTCTTGCACAGTAACTAATATCATATATTTTTCTAGTGCAAACAAAGCAATTGTAGGTAATTACTACACTAAGTAATGAAATAAAAAGCACAGAATAAGAATAAATATGTGTATTTGCTATTAGTTTAGCCTGAAAAAAAGTTTCACTTGTGCATGCTAAAATATTTCTTAGTTAATCTCTTTAAAGATGAACAATATGACAAACTTCACAAGGGTCAAAAAATCATCTTATAGAAATATATACTTCTTAAATCCACTTCAGAAGTTCCTGAATCAAACTATAGATATGGTTTAGAGATGAAGTGTGTGTGTCTGGTATTTTTAAAGCAAATAAGAAATCATTGATATGAAATAATGGCAGTTTGAGATATAGATGAGTACACCATTCACCTTAAATTGTGGACAGTAACTAAAAATTAACATTCAAGATATAAAATATTTGTGTCTTTAAGGATGAAAAAGTTCTGTTTTACTATAATTAAAATTCCCCAAAATTACATGCATATACTGATTATAACTAAAGAATTATTTTACTATGCATTGAAACACCAGTTACATGTACATATACTTTTTTAGCAATATGACAAAATTTTGTAACCTACTTTTATTCTTTCATGATAACAATCACTTCTTTCCAAGTTTTGGTGATAAAAAGCAATAAACATTTCTCTAATGTGCAAATTTACATAATCACTCACATTATGAACTTATCTCACTGTCTGTAGTGTGGTAAAATATCTTATTTTTTGTTAACATAGATTTGCAGATAACTAACTGCTTCAGCTTCTATATGACCCAGTTGTATTGATCTCTGTGATTGTGTATGTTTCATATTTGCATTTAACTTGTTGCCTTTTCAGCTGTGTTCTGTGGTACTGTTAGGACAATGTAACTTTTGCTGCAAAAGGTGGTAGCTCTTTTATTACTTATTATTTGATATTTATGAATTGAATACCAGTAGTATGACCTAATTATTTGAACATAACGAAGTTTAAACAATAATTAAACTAATATAACTTAAAACCTCTATCTAATCTAATACTAAAAAACAGGGCTGCACATGTAAGAGAGCAATTAAACTAAGATTAGTTAAATATCTGACCATTCAACCATACTGCACCTATTCTAACATCATATAAAACCCTAGACTGTTGTAAGCTTATTTAGAAATGTTAAAGGCAATTTGTAAAACAGTCAAAACAAAGTCTTTGTACACAAGAACATTTTGTATTGTTCAAAATGATCACATTATAATTATAGATACACATTTTTACACTCTTTACAATATAACACCAAACCAATAAAAAAAGTGAAGTTCAGAGTTTAAATTTTTAAACAAAAAAGTAATGCTGCATTGTATGAATAATAAATATAGGTGATGAAAAAAACAAGCATAGGTGAAGAAATCAACTTGATTAATATTTAGAAGTTTAATCTAATGAAACATAATTTGGAAATATGTATATAAATGAAACTACTTTTATCTTCAAACTCTCCTCTGCTACTAATGCAAAACTATCAATTAAAAAATGTTCTAAGCTAATTTGTGAATAATAGCACTATACACCGGGGATGAGTTTCAAGTTATTCTTATAGCGTTAGTTTGATGACTTAAAAGTTCTCCCAGAGAAAATAGTTCATAATGAGATGAGAAATTCTTACCGATAAAAGTTTTTGTTATTAACCAATAAAAATAGATTCACAATTACAGTTGAAGGATTTACTCTTTTTTTCTTTTTCATTCCACAAAAATTTTATTTCTTTTTGTCTCTGCATTCAAATAAGAAGTTCAAATGAGTAATTTACTTTGCCTTCTACGATAACAATCATCTTTTAACATTAAATGTGATTTCCTAACAATGGTGAAAAACGTTTCTTTCACTAGTACACTTTGTTATATTCACTTAGAAAATCGTTAAGTGGAAATTACCTTGTTTTTCTTGTTTCTATTTGGTCTTCAACACAACTGTGATGCTGTGTATGTATTTACTTTGAATGATGTTATTTAGTTATTTCTGGGAATGTATTACAGAAACAAATGTCACACATTGCAGCAAAGTTTGAAGTTACAAAAGTTGTCAAGGGATAACTCAACTTGAAAAGTTAGTTCACACAAGTAAATGTGATGTGAAAATTAAGAAGTGTTTCATTTAAAATGCATCAGTGATACAGCTGATTATTTTTCAAATACATAGCAAAATTATTACAAGTAGTGCTTTAAAACAGAGTTCACAAAGTTATGTTGTTGAACCAGAATAAAAAACAATTAATCATAAGAAATATCACAATGCACCTTCATTTAATTCCTGATTTTCCTAGCAGATAAGGGAGATTTGTGTAAAACTCTCACACAAAGTTACAGACACCACATCTACCTTAAACTTTTAAAACACCTAATTCCATCACTTTCAGAAAACTAAGTGAATCACTTGATTTTTTTTTACACAACTTAGTCTGCAACTCCATCTATTTGTGAAAATTTGGTAAACCACAAATTTCTGACACATGATTCAATATATAACTCCGCTACTTTGTGTAAGCTCAGTGAACCACTTGCTTCTCACACCTAACACAGTATATAACTCCATCACTTACAAAAACTTAATTACATAATTCCCATATTAAGGTGGTTTGTATAAAATCATGAAAATAAAAGTGAAGTCTTCATCAGGGTATTATTCATAGGTGTCATACTGGCAGAGGATATGAATTTGAGACTCTGTACCAGTCACTCTTATACGGTCTTCCAAGATAAATGTTAAAGTTACTTGTGAACTTCACATAATAGTCTGCACTATAAAAAAAACTAAATATAGAGATATAAGGCTTGCTTCTATTAACATATGACTGTCAATTAAAGAAACACTAAATACAATCACTACACTTTTTAAATAAGTCTAAAATTGGTTTTATTTGTTACTAGTCATAAACATAATTTTAAATAAAGTCAATAATAAAACCTTAAATAAATAAATAGAAAATGTGAAACTGATTTTCTTTTAGTTTCTCAAAGTATTTATTACATAAAAATATCCTCTTCAAAAATATTTTAATATATAATTTGAAAATATTGAACACTCCATCAACTATGGAACTGTATATCTGTGTTGAGATTTGGAAGCCAAACACACAAACAAATTCCAAAACTAGAATGGAACCAGTGCTGAATGTAAAAACACTATGAAATGCTTGCAATGTCACAGATCTCAAATATATATGTACACAAAATAAACAATAATATTAAATGCAGTAAATAAGTTGCCATTATTAATGCAAATAATAAAATTACTTTTACTGACAACATAATACTGTGTATGAATTACAAAAACCTTGCAATTCTAACAATTTACTTTAATAGATGCTATGTAAACTCTCACGTCACAAGATTGCTTTTCACAAATCTCTTTTGTATTTTGATTTTTAAACCAACTAGAGTTAGCATCTTGAAAACTTTTGTGTTCAAGGCTTAATAGCTGCATCACGAGTGATGTCTGTACACAAATTTTTATTCAAACTGAAATAATGTTCTCTTATTACCTAGCAATATGTTAAAATGTATTATAGCTTAGCAAATCTATTTCACAAAAATCAGTTTTCAATGTAGACACTACTTAAAATGTGTGAAAATGTAAAATAAACTGTTTTCATAAAAGTTCAAATTTTGCCCAAAGTCATCAGCAAAACTAGATCTAGAACTCTTGATATGTTACATCACAGCACACATGTAAGTGTAACTAGGGCAAAGAAGGGAAATAGAAACAGAAACCTGTGGCTGTAGAAAATCAAAGTTGATAGCCAATAAACTAACCTATTCTACCTACCAAGAAACATGTTACTTCAGTTTATTAGACATGATATATCACTCTGAAACATCAAGCTTGACAATAGTCACACCAAATACTTTCATGTGCTTTGATTCACGTGCTTATAACACCCAAAGTCATATTAATACAGAAAATAATCTAAAAAATCTCAACAGTTGAAGGTGCATTTCGTGTTCCTCGGGCGTTGCGAGAGTTGGATGCATTTCCTTTGGGAGACCATGCTACACTTGGGAAGTTCGGAACTTGAAGGTGTCCTGATTTACTCTTTTTCATAATCTTACCACTTGTGATTAACCTGCCAAAGCCCTCTTGGTGTGCAAAAGCATAACCAGAACGTAATGAGCGGCGACTTCGCCGAATGCTTGATGGTCTTCGTTGCGGTTCAGCAATTCTTGGGCGAGTACGACGATCTTTTCTTTGCTTGAGGCGAACTTTATTGGACAGAGTAGGAAAGAGGTCTACATAATAGAACCTGATTGCTATAACAGGCACAATCAGTATTGCCAGTGTGATGAAGGTAGTGAACCAAAAATGGGCCGAACTTAGAGCCATACGGAAGGAACCCATGTAAGCATTTCCAATAAAATTACTGTTGATGAAAAGTGTCATTGCAAAATAAAATGCCACACTACCCCAGATGACAATATGGTTAAACAGTGTCCAGTATGCTGTATCCAGAGCCACCTAGTGTGTTCAGAAGATAAACACAGAGTTTAAGAATGTAAGTAATTAAGAAAGTTACTAGGCATAATACAAAGAACAAATGACAGTTTTTCTTTCTGCCCAATAATTGCAAATATAAATTACATGGTAAACTTTTAAGGAAATCAGCTCCAAAAAGTAAAATGGAAATGGACCACCATATGATAGCTTTAAATGTATTTTATAGTTCAGGTGTTAAAACTAGGTCTGAAACAGTTAAAACTAGAACATTTTTAACTCATCTCTAGAAAAAGTTTGTACTTTATTCACTGAACATATATTTGAAATTTGTTAATACCTTTTGCAAAAGACATTTTAAAACATTCCTATTTTATTTTGTGCCAAGTATGTTTTCTTTATGTGCAAAAAAAACTGTGTAAAAGACACAGTTAATTTACTTTTTTAATGGGTCAGTTATCTTAATACTGATAAATGTAAGACTTGTAAGTTTTCGCTTTTAAAGTTTATCAAATATATTTCAACATACACATTTTCATAAACATTAACAAAAGTTCTACTGTTAAAAACTGTATACCTGAGAAGTGACGACAAGCACTAAAATGGTTGACACTGCAGTCCCCAATAACTGATGGCCATCCAAATTAATTCCATCTGGTGCTACACTATCATTAAAGGTTCCATATGGAATGAAGAAGAGGATAAAAGAAGTGAGAAAACCATGAAAGACACTTTTCAAGAACTCTTTTTTATTGAAAAGTAGATTTAGATGGCCTGGAGTGTAGAGCTTTGGAAATTTGAGGGAATTCTTGTCACTTACATCCTAGAAAAAAGAAATTTACAAAACTTCTTGTAAAATACTTTGAAATTCTGTTCAAAATACAACATCGTTTAGAAGAATAACTCTGGAGCTACAGGGTGAGGTGTAATAATTTCAATTAACTGATTCAACATTTGACAAATAGAATAATTTTATACTTATAGTTACATTGATATTCTATATATATATGTTATGAAGTTCAATATTTAGAAGCTTTCACACAGATAATTGCTTTAGTAAGATGACTAACCATCATCTGATAAACTTATGTGAAAAAAAAATGTTTGAAATACAAAAGAGGATTACTGAAAATATTAGAATATTTAACATAAAGACTGTTACGTGTTAAAGAAATCAATTTGGAATCAAAACCAATATAGGCATGAAATCAAAAGCTATGTGTGTAAAAGTAAATGTATGCACAAAGACACAGCTATGATAATTTAATTCATATAGCATAACCCTCCTTAACTTCTTGCTTTTTTCAACTAAAATTTTTTGTCTGAGTATCCTCTTATGACATTCCATACAGCCTGATATAGTCTAAAAACTGACCTGATCAAATATGCCCAAAGCCAGAACAGGTAAGGATGTGTAAAACACATTGTAGAAAGAGATGAACACCGGATCAAACAAAGTCTGTAAATAAAAGTACGCATAGAAAGTTGACTGATAAGTGATGAAGCACGAGAAAGGGGAATTATTTAATAGTTAGTTTGAGTTTACATTATAGCACTGAAGATATTTAAAAGAAAATTTTATGTTTGGCAAAATAGGAACAAACATTTTATAAGAAATAATATATATATCAAATTCAAAGCTTCAATGATTTATGTTTGATAATTGTATTAGAACAACTTTCAGAGAAGTGATATTATAATGCAAATAACAAGTCATGTTATAAATTATAAAAGTGTTTTATTACAAACTTTAGAGAAATTTAAAATGGTGTTGATGTGATTTACAGCAAATTTTGATATTCCATGTATGTGAATGGAAACAACAGTAAACATTGTCTACATATTTTATAAATGGCACCAAATGCTAGTGATATCTGAAATGAATGAGATTTTGTCTCATTTTAGAGAAACTGGCCTTCAATGAAGATCTTTTGCATATTAAAATGAAACAAAATGCTTATTAACAGCTCATGACGAATTATCCCCTGTATCCAATAACCTCTAGTACATTGCTTAAAAGACTAACTTCAATGGAAAATCACTCCCAACAAAAATCTAATCACTCATTTTTTTCCCTTAATCATCACTAAAGATACCATTATTGAATATGTGATAATATAACAAATGTAATAATAAACTTGACAATATTCGCAAAAACGTCTCACATTACTTAAAAGTCGTTAAAATTCATTCATAGTTTACACTTTTGAGAAAACTTTAACAAATATCTAAGTAAAATATGAGCTATCTAATTAATTAATTATTAAGGATTGTAGGATATGTTGTACAATAACAAGTATTAGAAGTGAGTGTATTTAACACAAGAATTTCAATAGGCCAACAAAATAAATTAGGTTCAAAAACTGACTATTATGCTTCTAAAGATATATATATATAGTTAAAAGACAAATACAAAATCAATACCCCTACACCAAAAAACTGATAATAAATTACCTACAATTTATTACAAACTCTCATGGCAATACAACCTTACAAAATTAATCTTTATTGCTACAATCCAATGATTTTTCTGTAGATGTCACATGCTGTCTTTTACAGTAACCTTGTAAAAAAATATTTGCTACAACTTTTTTGAGAGAAATCATTCCCTGCACTGACCAAATACAATTTTACTGACTGTACATCATATCTATTTTTAGAGTATTTCTTATGTGAGTCGGGAAACTTCACACTAATCTCTATGCTACCATCAAATCAATCACAATAAACACTGCTTATAACTACAAATAGGTGGACAAACAACAATTTATAAGCATCAGGAAAAATTTTATTGATGGTGGAACATACTACATTTTTCGACAGAACATTGGTCTGTCTTCTTCAGGTATGATCAGTACTAAGCAATATAAGGTTTATATATCGTTACAAAGACAAAAGACACAGAGATTAAATGTGATGGAAATGGTGTCAGCAGATGACTAGATATAGGCAGAGGTCAAGTGTATGAACAGTGAATAGACCTTGCCAAATACAGCTGATGTTTCTAGGGCCATTATCACAGTTTAGTGAGAGGTCATTTACTTTGATGATTTCTATAGTTTCTAAACAGTCTCTTTCTTTTTCAGTTTTGGGTTGGTGTAGGAGAAGAATTTTGTGACTTATTTCATATTGATGATATGTTAAGGCAGATATTTGGAATTCACCTCTATGCATGTGAATTTGGTGTTTTTTTGCATCTTATTTCTGAGGAATGTGACGTTTGTCCTAGGTATTTCTTTCCACATTCACATGGGATACTATATATCCCCTGTTTAATAGGGATTCTTTTGGGTTAGGTAGTAAGATGCTAGTCTTATGTGAAGGTCTGAATACAGTTTTTATATCAATGCTCAAATTACTAAAAAGGCTAGTGATTTCGTTAGCAATTTCTGGCCCAAAAGGGAATGAAACAAATTTGTTATGTTTTGTGTTGTTGACAGGTGAAAAGTTAGCCCATCAATAAAACTTTTTCTCATGCTTATAAATCATTGTTTGCCTACCAATTATTATATTAGTATAATGTTCTTCCTTACTCAAGTACTGCATATAACGTTCATTAATGATCAGTAATAAAATCAGCTTCTATAAACAACTGCCATCAACCATAGTAATATATTCCTATATGTACAAATAATCATAGATGATCCTTTGGTCCTAAAGAACAAAATAATAACATTATTTTAAATCTATATGGTCACAGTGGGAAAAATCATGATCTACATCTACTTGAGTTGCTGTTAAATTAACTAGAATTAAAGTTGGTAGGTAGTCAAATATTTCAAAGTAACTTATACCTGCAAGATTTAAAAGCATCCCAAAGCCACAAACTATAGAATGTACAAGTTTTACACCCAGTTACCACAAATGGCAAGTATAAAGAGAGTATTATATGATTATTGTAGCTCAGTAAGTTATGGTAAACATAGCACATAAGAATTAATAGTGTTATAACTAAAAATGGTTACGATTAAAGCTTCTTAAATTGTCAAATGAACCATCCTCTTGAAATTAAAGATCAAGAAACAAATTATGTGCAATATAAAATTCTTTGATTGTATGTGGATCAGAATTAGCATGTAATTTCATCAGGATTTTATGAATAACATATTAGAAAATAGCCTTGTCTTACTTGTGCTGAAAACCCACAGAAGAAAGCAAACCAGAAGTGACAAAGTGTGAAGGCAAAGTTCTTGTAGAAAAAGTAACGGAGGAATTTGGCCATACGAAGGTAAGACCAGCGGCCATGAACTAGAAGCAATCTTTCCAAAAAGCGAAACTGGGCAAGAGAAAAATCACTAGACAATACAGCTTGCATTCCTTCTTGACCACTGATACCAACTCCTATGTGGGCAGCTGAAAGATAATCAACAAAAAAGGGTTAATAATGTCACACAGCAATGACATTTTTATATCTATTTATAAATGTTTACATGTGATAATTCAAGAAATTGCATGTACAACTTAAATGGTTTACAAACAAAATAGTTAAACACTATACAGCAAATGAAATAATAAACTTCTCTTTTTGTTTATTGTTAAACGTTGATCTTATTCAGGAAGAATGAGAGATGGCATAACAGTTAACTCAGTTTAGTATATGGGCATATGAAAGTTCAAATAATTTAACACATCCAAGTTAAATAGATAAATTTCAATGTAAAGCACAATTTTTTTAAATTATGTTTTCATGGATTAAAATGAAACTCAATTCAATTAGTATAGTCCTAGAGATCTGGAGTCAGTATCTAGGTGGAATAGTTTTTCATCTTTAAAAAATTATGTTTAGCATTTTATAAACCACTGTATACCATTTTACAAAATTAGGAATTTATGCAGGAATATGTAATGGCTTTTCATCTGTAAATTCTATAATAATTATTAAACATAGGCAGATATAAGTTATAAATTAAATACAAAAAAAGGCAAAATATATTTCAAAATTCACAAAGGTGACATTTACAGAAATATAAATGATAAAATTTTAGTTTCATTATTTCAAGTCGGAGCAAAAAGAAACAAATATGATATATATATTGTGAAAATGAAGCAAAAAATAATTTGTTTCTTTTAACATGCTGTTTTCTAGAAATATTAATAATATTTTTTGTTAATGTTACCCACATTATACATAACAATAACTATATGATAAAAATATTAATCATTCTTGTAATATTTTATAATGTTATTAATTTACAAATCAAGAAAAGTAATATTAACCCTACTTTTAATCATGCTGACATCATTTGCTCCATCACCAATAGCAAGAGTAACTGCTTTCTTGTGACGTTTAACAAGGTCAACAACCAGAGCTTTCTGTAATGGTGTCACTCTGCAGCAAATGACTGCCTTACACTGTGAAGCAACAGAGAGAAACAGATACTCCATGTTAGGATTTAAGGCATGGACTAGGCTGTTTCCATTCACCACAATACCAAAGCCCCCAAATTCTCCATCTGCTCCTTGTTCATCACTAAATGTAATTATACTCAGGTGTCTGGAAGCTTTAGTAGTACTTAAGACACTATTAATATTCTCACGGAAAGTAATGAGTTGTTTTTCCACTTCGTGATATTCAATCCCATCCACTATGAAAATATCCACCATTTCATCTGTCAGTAACTGACATGAATAGCCAATGTTAACAGCAGTTTCTGGGGATAAAAAAAAAGGTATTTATAGTATCTATGATTTACATAATGACACCTATTGATGAACATTTTAATTGATTTTCAGATTCTACATAATTTTACTTTTGTAAACTATATTTGCTGAAATTCTTAAACCTATTTATATCTCAGTGTTTAGTTCAGCATACCGTATTCAGCCCTTTAAGTGCCCCTGCTCCTATAAATGCCATACCACACACACTTTCTTGAGAAATTATAAATCCTTCTTAGGTTGGCTTGTTCAAGTATCCACTTGGCTTTCAAAATGAGTGCCTAACACACAGAATTATGAACTGCCTCTAACCATAAAATTGCTGCTTACAAACCAAAGCTTGCTAGTAATCCCACACTCTTTGAAAAACACCTCTTTCTTTAAAGTGTTACATGTACTCTCTCCATGTTTTGCATATTTTTGCACAATAATAATGGCAAATGCTCGATGTCTTGTTCTTATCCTTTAAAAATATAAATTAAATGTATTTTTAGATGTAGCTATTTGTGATTACTTATGATAAGATTAAATGTTGCAATGTTTCTTCTCTCTCTCTTCTTTTTTTTTGCTTTACAGTCTGTGTATACAACTTAGAAGTCCATGCAGGCTTTCAGTTAATTTACTGTATTTGATAGTGGTGTTTAACTTTTTCTCTGCCAAATTGGTTCAGTAAGTACAAAAGACAGTGGCAGTAGAATCAATTGCCATAAATGGCATGACTGAAAATACCTGTAATTTATAATTTTAATAATCAGCTATTTTGAGATATTAATTAAAGTTTCATTTAAGAAAGAATATTAGGATTTTATCTTAATAAATGACAAATTAGCTTCATGTTAGTTTTCATTCCATTCACATGCTTATGCTTCTTTACGAACCAGTATTTCAATAGTACTGTGTTATTCATCTTGAAAATTTATCTTTTGAACTTGAAATATAATGAATTAATTGTTAACATCAGAAAAGAGCATCCCAAGATACTGATAAATGAAGAACATAAAGTAACATATTAAATAATTTTACTTAGCACAAAAAAACAATATTACTTGGTATAAAACAAGTGGTGTAATAAGTATCCCCAAAGGACAAATGATACAATAAGCCCCAACTCAACCCCACCCAACTTCCAATCGGTTCTGTCAAGTTTTTAAGTGCCCACAGCACTTAAGTGGGCGAATAGAGTGAGTTTTTCTTCATCTCAATAAAACACCAAAAATAATGAATTAATAAATATATTTTTCTTACAACTACAGTAAGTTTGATGTTATATTCTTAATAAAGCAAACTATTTCAAAAATAAAATACATTTTTTAATTTCTGTAAATTCATTAGGATTATCCATACTTATAGCACTTTATTTCAAATTAACAACATCAATTGTTTGCAAAAATTTACTTTTCGACTTTAGTAAAGAATCTTTTCTGTTTATTATGGTTTGAAAAATAACTTTTACAGTTTATGAAAACAACACCTTGTAATACAACAAAAGTGACAAAAAGAAGAATTTTATTGATAAACATTTAATTAGATGATTAAAATGCTTTTTTCCACTAGGTTATTTTTACTAATATGTTATTTCTTCAAGCTGTACCAAAACATTAGTAGGTTGGTTTTGGGCTAAATCTCTCTCTACACCTTCATTTAAAATCCTTTTTTTTCACTTCTGATAAGAACAGAAATTGTTCAACTAATATATTATTTTCAGAAGCAACATTCAAAAGAAAGGGAAATGAAATGAGAGAAAACATGTGAGTGCAAGATATTTTTTTAAATATTAAGTGCATTACAGTTATAACAATTTTAGTAAAAATGACTGTTTAATTACCTTGTTTGTCTCCTGTTAAAACCCAGATCTTTATACCAGCCAGTGCTAAATTAGCTATGGTTTGGGGAACTCCATCTTGTAGCTTGTCTTCTATTGCTGTTGCTCCAATAAGATTAAGATTCTTTTCAATTTCTTCATAAACACTATTTACTTTATCTTCTCGATTGTCCATTGATGTTCTAAAAATACACACAAAAAAAAACATTTGTCAATATGAATGTTAATGTTAAAAGCATTAAAAAAAAGGACAGAGTTTCATGCCACAGATTAATTCTACAAGGCAACTAATATCCACAGCAATGACAATCTAAATTATTAATAAACCTGAAAGTGTCACATTTTTTCATTTTAAGAAGTGCTGTATGATGTGTGCTAAAAGAGTCTGCATGAATTACAATGTTTATAGAAATAAAAAAACAATATATACATACAACATTACTTCAAAGAACTACAAGTATTTTTACTTTCCTAGACAATATAAGATGACTGCAACAATCAATCATGATATTCACTGAATCAAATAAAAATACTTTTCTAAATTTGGACAAAGCATTTCAATTTTTTTGTAAAAATGTTTACATACTACTAAGAAGTAAAAAATGTAAGTACATGATATTGCACTAGGTACTGAGAGTTGATTCAATAATTTTAGGTATGTCTTATTTGTTAAACATATTGACAATTCACATTATCTTAAGCAGCTTCTTTACTTTTGTGTAAATATACTGCATAATAATATTGTAAACTTAGATACATATGTGTTACGTCTCAGTGTTTCAATACTTAGAATACATCTTTAACTTGTAGAACTTTTATACTTTGAGTTAGTCCTACAGATGACTGAAGTGAGCTTGTAGAAACTGGAGGCCAATACAAATGTTATTAAGTTAACTTGACTGGTAGTTGTTTAGTAGATCCTATTAAATATGTTTAATATGCAATTAATCTATGGATAAAAAATACTGAGTTACCTTAGTGATGAACCGAGTTTGATCTCTTGTAGCCCAGATCAAACTCACAAATCATTTTCAATTAAAACATGGATGTGCTTGATAGTTAGGGAACTGTCATGTTTGTTGTACTAACAATGTTTTTCTCACCAAAAGATTCCCTGACTTTGTAAATTTCAGCCATACAATAATAATCACTTACGCTGCCTCATTGAATCTCTCTTTCCATTCTTCAAAGTAGTCTTCATCAAGATCTTTCACAGCAAGGCACAGGGTGCGTAATCCTTCAGAGGCAAATTTCTAAAAAAATAAATAAATAGTAAGAATAACTGTGTATTCTCAATTTTCCAAATACAAGTTTATAATAAACATTCCTGTCTTAACTCCTTTTTTACAGGCACCATTTTCTGTGCATGTCACAAGATTTTACTTAGTTACATTCAAAAGTTAATTAAGCTATTTTATGATCAATGTTTGCCAATAAAATCAGCATCAAAATTTACATTATAGTTCAAAGATTTGTATTATCTAAGCTTTAATTACTTTATTTCAAAAGAAACCTTAATGAAAAATTCTTAAACTTCAGTTTTATTCTCACGTGATCCACAAGTTCACAAAACCTTAAATTTGTGTCTTTGTAGTTTGAAAACTTCTTGACATATGCTAACCTTCCATGTATAGATAGAATTTAGATTAATTGCTCTGATTACACATTCTGCTTTCAAGCTTTTTAGGACACACTTGGAGAAGAAATAAATAAATTGAGAGATGCCACACCCACTTTCTACACATACAGTTGCAATTTCTCAGCCAATTATACTTAGCTGAGCTAGATATTTATAAACAATGGAAAGAGTACTTTTAAAATATGTTTTCTTAAAATTGGCATGAAGAACTCCATAGAGAACTAGTCAAACCACTCTTAGTATTGTTGCAGCTTTTTTTACTTGCCACTTTAGCATTGTTTCTCACTCAGAAATATGTTAGTTAGATACAGTTGCATTGTATTTATGTTTTACTTTTATTTTTCCTTAATTATGTGTTATTTATGTTTTAATATATATATTTCAAAGGTTTAATTTTTATATTTTTTTTATTAAGCCAATGACTCCTCAGTTCATGAGGGTTAGTGTAATACGTGAATGCTACCATGTTCTGCTGGTGGCTAAAGTTTCTCTGCCCACTATACCATAATATTGGTCGGGGATGCCCACTAATATCTGTTGCAATAAATAACAATGCTAAAGGACAGAAAAGGATAATAAAATATTAAAATAAATTATATGCGAAAATTTAAAGACAAAATTAAGAATATAGCCAAAAGAAGATGTTTTAAAATTATTTGACAAAATATTAAAAGGTATGTACATTTTTTGTATGTCTTAAATCTAAACATTTCATTCTACTATACTATAGACTATATAGTAAAAGTTGATGATAATAGCTACAGTTAGTAATATCATAGGGAAAGTGAAAAACAAATAAACATTTACCTTAAAATAAAAAAAACTTTGATATTCACTTAGGAGGTTCTAGGGGTTTGCAGATGAAAGGTATGTATGTATTTTCGCATATAATTTATTTTAAGTTGGAAAAAGTATTTTTATACACGTGTTGTTTTGTTGGTTAGGCGAGATGCTACTTGGGTATACTCCCATAAACTTAGAGTTAAGGCATTGTGGCCATAATGCTGATAAGTTTATGTAACATTAATATACTCAGTAGATGAACAGATGTTTAATATTACTGAGAAAATGTTCTGTAATGGCATCTAGCTACACTATTTACTGAAACCCCTGACCAAATGCAATTTTCCTGGTTGTACATCATATCATCTGTTCAAACTTATGTCCAACTGCTATACTCCTGGCTTTACATCACACTACCTGTTCAAACTTCTGTCTAACTCATAATCACTTGGACCTACATCATACTATATTTTATATTTTAACACTTTTAATAAATTTATTTTCCTGAAAGTGCACCACATCATAAGCTCAAACTTCCGTCAAACTTCTATTCTGTTGAATTTACATTGGATCATATTCTTAGAAACTTGTAATAAGCTGGTATTTTCCTGGAAGTGTTTCACATACTTCTGCTCAAATTCTATTCTTCTACTGAAAAGTTGAATGAGTGAATAAATGATGATTTCCAAGTTAATTTTAAAAGTTTTCATAAACGTTTATCATGAGTATCTTTTTTATTTGTTTTCTTCAAATTTTTAACATCAAATACGGATTAACTTCTGTTACACAACTATTGTAAGAAGTGATGGAAATATGACCACCTAAACAGTAGTCATTTATATATTTAACATGGTTTTGGGGGCATTTGGTGAATACTTGTTTCAATACTATTAAATATCCTGAAAATCAGCAATGTTTCAATAAGAACTGAAAGATTTAACTCTAGAAAGACATGCAACTAAATTACAGTGAACCTATGAGTGCTAAAAACATTTCTCACACTGAATCTGGATAGAACAACTTAGCTTTATATACAATGAGAGTGTTTCTGTATATATTAGTTTAACATACTGCACCACAGGTAATAGTAGTAGTGAATCTATAGTATATAATTGATGTACATCATTGTGCTTTAATTATCAAGAAAAGACAAATAATTTTTGTATGTCTATTACAGAGGGAAGTGTTTCAGTCTTCCCCTCTGATTGTGTAGTTTTAAGATAATAAGTATTTTAGTTGCTAAGTAGAAAACTCTCTCTCTTTGTGTTACAAAATGAGTGAATTGATTGTGTCACAGTGCTGTGGATTTACATTACATAACTATAGTAAATTATATTGCAATTATGCTTCAATTATTTTGAGAAGTAGCTGCTTCTTGAGGATCAAGGTCCAAATATTTTTGATAGTTGGTAACATCCCTGCTATTATTTAACTAAGAACAAGAGATGACTAACAAATATTTTGGTGTCAACTTTGTTTATACAGTACAGAAGCTGATTACATTACATTATCTCTCTTGCTATTGGCTCAGGCAAATGGTCGAGTTTTTGACCCCAAATTGACCTTTATAGGTTCAATACTATAACTTCTAATATGTTTTGTGTATCTTCACAAAATTTTGCAAGCTTTCGGTTATCATTAAGTCATTTGTAGACCAAAAAATTTGAATTTTTAATGAAGCGTTTTCACTAATAATTCCTCTATAAACATAAAGATTCAAAGTGTTGACTGCTCTGAGCACAAAATGATTTTGATGTCAAGATTAAAAATGCTTTTCTTCATCTCAAAAATCTCAAATTTCATTTGTGCACTCTCTAAAACCTTCTAAATAAATTTCAAACGTTTTTTTTCTCAGTAAAACCTTAAAGTTTATCAGTTATTTTTTCTACTCAAACTTTTTACAAGGTTGGTCAAAACATATTCAAAATAAATCTAATTTACGTGTTTTTCTTTCTATAATGACTTCAAATTGTAACATAACTACATTTATTTATCCTAAATAGCTTTAAACTCCTAACAGTACACATCTGTTTATAGATAAATTTTATTGTTTTATTGCCCTTTGAAGTTTAAATTATTTGGCAAACATGTAGCTCACATTATCCTATTGAATTACATAACACATGCTACTCGTGAGTTGCTCACGAGCGTACCTTGTGAAAAATTATTATTATTATCATTATTCTTTATTTTACCTAATCTAACCTTATCTAACCTATAAAGTTTCTTATTTTTACATTTTAGTTACTTTCATACTAATAAATAAAGAATAACCATAAAAAAACAAAAAAATAAAGTACTTACCTGAGTCTTCTGTTCTTTGCTGTCAAATGTTGATGAAACTTAACCCTGCTTTTTTATACTAATGGTACTACTGCAATAAGTAATTCTTTATTTAATTAAATAATACACCAAATAACACAGAATAATAACATGTAGAAAGCAGACAATGTCCCATAACTATCAACATTTTTCTGGCTTTCTAACTATGCAATAAGAGTTAGTTAAAAATTCAGCTTAGCTTGTTTTACATTGGAATAAAGTTTGAACTGGAAGCAAAATAGACAATTCTCTGTACAAAAAAAAAGTAATAAATACATCTAATGATAGATTAAAACCTTGGCTTTCTAATAAAGAATTAAGCATCGGAGAGAACTATTGACAATTTGTGATAAAAACGGATGGGTGTGGCAAGAGGGATCTGATTTTATAGATTGATGGCTATAAAAATTTGGCTTTGCTGAAGAATGACAATATTATAATGAGTAATTTACATTGAATTTCTTACTTCTTAGAGGGATAGTAAAAGAATTAGAGAAGAGGAGGTAACTAGAGAGCAAATAATAGGAAAGATTTTAATTTTTTTTAATATTGCCTTATAAAATTAAAACTTATACTAAAATTTGGATTATAAGCTTAGTTTTGATACCAAGTGTATTTATATACCATGATAATACGGTACCTTAATTAAATTTTGAATGTAACTTGCTGAAACCTCTTGACATGTGCAGAAAAAAGATTCATATAGTGAAAATGTTAAAATGATTTTGAAGCCTCACCACATCATTACACTCAATTCTGCTATGTTCAGTCATGTTCTGGCAACTGTGCATGTTGACAATAGCAATGCAGTGTGGTTTCCATTTTAAAAGACTACATCATAAAGCTGTCATGTCTAAAGCTCACTACTCTTCACTGCAGGCTTTTCACAATCTATCTAGTGTAACGGAACAAGGGTTTCCAGGTGACCCATTTCAATAGATCATACTGAAATACGTAAATGCTGTGTCTGGAAACTTGACCAGTGTATCTTCATATGGAATAGCATGAATACCCATCCCTTCCTTCAGCTTCTAGAGGTATGCAAACGTTGAACAAATATGTCATGAAAGCAACTTGTATCACTTTTCTAGAAGGAGCTCATTCTTGATTATGTTGTGCACTGATTCCTGGGGAACGTGGATGGCTTCTGCCACTGACCTTTGGGTCCACAAAGTATCATCTGTTACAAAATGCTGCACTTTGCTTACCATACTGTGGTATGACTTGATGCATGTTTCTTTCTGGATGGTCTTCATGCCCCAAATTGACCCATATTCCTTCCTTTTACAATATTTACAATACCATTAAGTACAACGGATATCTTCATCTTAAAAACTGTAGTCCACAATCTGAACACATCTTTATGATATGATGATGGGTATATCTTGCACCAGAAAAGCTGTTACATACCCTTCTCAAAAGTAGTCAATTTTTGATGGAATCATACTACCTACAAAATGCCAAACAATGTTGAAATATAGTTCTGATAACAATTGATCTGTTGTTACT